CTGCCCAATGATAGACCTGTGTAACTTATGCACAAAGCTAAACCGGAAATCCTGAACTCCACCAAACTTTTAAGTGTCCTGAGCCTGAGCCTGTGGGATGTAGGCCTCGGAGGAATTAGGGTGACTCTTCAGGGTGATAGTTAAGTTCGCCATTCGGTTGTTGCCGCTAGCTGGGGTGGACACGGTTTTCTTTTAGGGCTTGTGTTTTTTCACTTAAGCTCGCTACGATGGTGGTTGCGGAGATGTTACGATGGGGGGCACCGCTTCCCTTCATTCTGCTCGTTGTCATGCTGGGGTTCTATGAGTCGGCGAACCAAGTGCAGGACCGTCTTCTCGAGCGAGGGTTCAGATCCAAGTTTGTGTATATGTGGCGGCCCGTGAATTTGCTTGGTGTGTGATGTAAATGCATGATATAGCACAGTGACCCTTTAGGGGTAAATTCTAAACCCTGGACCCTAAACCCTTATACCCCTAAGCCCGGATTCCAAGCCACGCCAGGATCTGGACTTCATCGAGCTCTTCTCCGGCACGGGCCACGTGTCGCAGTGCCTACGGCAGGAGCATCGCAGGGTCTTTCCGGGGTGTCGGGGCGAGCTGTGCGGGCGAGGATGCTGGGGCTCATGGATCCGCAATCGATTTGACGATTGATCCCCATGGTATGGACCTAACCACACCGGCGGGCTTTCTGTTGCTAGACAGCAGTGGAGGTTCTGCTAGAAGCTAATCAAACGTGGGTTTGCATTCTCAGGCTAGCCATCAATGAAGCCAAAAGGGTCCGGGAAGGTGGACTTGCAATCATGGCTCTGCCTTGCAACAGTTTCTCCATCATGCCCCTGGGCTGTGACTGGATCTCGCCATATGTTCGGTACCCGAAATGACTTAAATTTACAGCTCAGGAGCAGAGCATCCAGTGGCAGGGACGAAATATGCCCTAATGGCAATGTTGGCTACGGCTTTGTGGCGACTGGCAATTTGTTGTTGGGCCGGATCTGCTTAATTTGCTTGCTGCTCAGCTGCCGCAAAGTCCGCTGGTTGCTGGAGCAACCATCGATGAGTGCAGTCGTCTTTCATCCTTGGATGGACTTTCTTCAGAAACGAGTCTATGTGCCATCATTGCATTTAAACTTGTAGAATGCTATCAGCTTAGCTTCCATGATCGATTGCCTAGGTATTACAGACCAAGTGGTACATGGGCCACTTTGGACAGCAGACTGTCAAACCGCATCTGGGTTTCAGCAACGCTCGATCCCTCCTTCAGGGCATTGCTGCAAGAGCAGGATATCTCAGCAATTCGGACCGCGAGAAAATGACGACGATTCGATTGGCTAAGCATTCAGAGAGCAAGTCACGGTTTGCAGCAAAGTTCACGGGTGTGAGAAAGAACCTCAAAGAAAGCCAGCTCCTAGACTGCATAAGATTGGCCACCTTACATTTTACCCGGAGCTGCAATCCCGTGGGCCTGACGAACTCTGTGATCCCAGGACCTACCCTAAAAAATTTGGTTTTATGCTGGCAGACTATTGGCGGATGCACCCAGACACTGCAACCTGGCAGCATAATTCAGGTAGTATGTGCATCTTGTGATGCCACGCTGTATTATGCACAATAAGGAGGAACTACGAGGGCCACGACTAGCCGTGGATGTGGATATGCAGCAGACCGACTTTGAACTGTTTTGGCCCTTGCTGAAGAAAGCTACAACACAGGATTTCGAGCAGGCGCTTTGTATACTTGACATGCACCTTTCTTGATGTGGCTTTATATAAATAAGCAGCAACTTCGCAGTGAGTGTGTGGCCAGGTCGAAATGCTATCTTGTGTGAAATATCTCCTACGCAGCCGCCACCTACATCTTCCTGGCCATTGGGAGTCCTGCTGGCAAAAGTAAGCCCCAAAAAAGTGCGAGTGCTAAAAAAAACCCGAAAAGTAAGCCCCGACCCTGGATCCCAGCCATAATTTTGAACGGGACACCCTCCTGTTCTTCCCAACTAAGGAAAAGGTCCGTGAGGAGCTGCAGAGATTCATCTGATCAAAGTGCCTGGGATCGGTTCTATGATGTCTAGGGGCTTCAGGCACAGCTCGGGTATGCATAGATTCGGAATACAGGTTTGGGGTCTTGGCTGTGTGCTCATCAATGCTGGCTTCGACGGATGTGCCTCCGAATTTCTTTTGCAGGTTGTTGCAGTGCCAGTATATTAAGTACGTTTGGTGAATAGCACATCGACAGCCAACTCTCCCGAACTGCAGGATTTCTCTCGATTTGACGGGGGTCTCGGAAGGGCTGTGTCAACGGGCTTGGAGAGAACTAGAGTACAGGGAAGCTTTTTTGGAGTTGCTTAGGTCTGGACTTTCTCAGGATTTCGCTCTGAAAAGTCTCGACCCGGCAGAGCTGTTTCTGCAAGCATTAGCTACAGAAAGTCTGTAGGCCTGGGATGTTTTGGGTTGTCGTGGTTTGTATATCGGGATTGTTGCTAGGAGCGAAGCCCCACCGAATCCCCAAATACGTCGGGCCACATCTGTAAGAAAAGCCGCACAAATCCTTTCTTTCACCTACTTATTGGGACCCGAAATCCCGAGCACATCCCCGAAAAATCCCGGTCCAAGTCTCTCTTGGCTTATAAGCTAATTAATGAAACCTGCCAATTCCCAAGCCCCCTAAAACCCAAGCTTCGCGAGCCTTGCGAGCTAGAGTACTAAAGCCTATAAGCACACAGAAAGTCCTTGCAGCTCAGGCCCCTCGATCCACGGGTACGTACTTCGATCGAATCTCAGCCTTAGATAAGCTACCAGGGAATAGTACTTTAGTCCGGGGTTCCAATATATTGGCTGGATTGTATTATTGTACTCTATAGCCAGGGTAGTGTTGAGGGGACTTTGGAGGTCTTGTGCAGGTCTTAGCTTCTGCAGAGAAGCAAAACGGGTTCACGGGTTAGAGCTTCGGGCTTGTATTAGGGTGTGTGGGCTGGATACATTAATATAGGCTTTGGGGAATCTCGTTGTTTTGCAGGAACTTAATGATGGGTTCAGGGCCCAAGCCTTTGGGATTTTTTCTATGGGCTTGGAGGTTTGCGGTGTATTTGGGCCCCGGGTCCTGGTATTTCAGAGTGGCTCAGGAACCCCATATAGATTCGAAATATTGGTCCAGGCTAGCAAGGCACCGAACGAACTCCCGAAATCCTTTAATTCGGTTAATATTGAGGATGGTCATCGGGTTTGGCTTTGGGGTTTTTTTGGACCTATCTTTTCCGGCCTAGGATTTATGGGGCTGAGGGATTAGGAAGGGCAATTTATAGCGATTTTACACAAACATTCCTACTTCGGCTTGAAGGTTTCAAGGGCTTTAACATATGGACTGCACGAACCACCGAGTATCCCCCACATATGTCGTTTTAGGTTATGGTACATAACCCACACGGCCCAAGTACACTAGCAACCTACAAGATCCCGAAATACTCTGGCCCGCCCTCCTTATGCCTTTATAAGGTAGTATCTGCAGTGCCGATAATGGAAATCGCACGAAACCCAGCAATATCCCAAAACCTCGAACCCCTTTCTAAGCCCTAAAGGCTCAGATTAGCTAGGAACCGCATTCGCCACGAAATATTCCGGCAGCTCTCTTAAGGGCTTCGACTAGGTACCAACCAAAATCCCGAAATTTCCCGGTAGTTCTCTTTTGGCTTAGGCTGGGCATCGATAGCTCTCTTTTGGCTTAGGCTGGGCATCGGTAGCTCTCTTTTGGCTTAGGCTCGGCATCGAAACATCCCTAAACTAGATTTAGTTTAGACTATAGGCCCCGAACGAGATCCCGAAAATACCGAAATATCCCGGCAGCTCTCTTGGCTTAGGAACCAACCCAAATCCCGAAATATCCCGGTAGCTCTCTTTTGGACTCGGCCGGGCGCCGAACGAGATCCCGAGATATCCCGAAATATCCCGGCAGCTTTCTTTTAGTTTAAACTATAGGCCCCGAACGAGACCCGAAAATCCCGAAAAATCCCGGCAGCTCTCTTGGCTGAGGTACCGAAAGAAATCCCGAGATATCCCGGCGCCTCTCTTTAGCTTAGACCATACCAGGCGGAACGAGACCCAGGAAATATCTCGGCCCTTAAAATCCCGGCACCTCTCTCGATCTCTTAGCTTAGGCAGGCACCGAACCACGTACCGGAAAAATCCCGACCCGTAAAATCCCGGCACCTCCCTCTTTGGCTTAGACCAGGCACCGAGCGAGATACAGGAAAAAATGCTGACCCAAAATATACCGACACCTCTCTTAATTCGGATTAAGCTAGGCACCGGGACTCTGCTAGGCTTAGACTATATAACACCAAATCCCCAAACATCCTGAAATACCCCGGACTCTCCATACAGGGCTTAGAGTGGAACTGCACCAAATCGAAACGTTCCGGCCCTCCAAATATCTCTCCTGAAGCTATTCTGCATTAAGCAACTATTACTATATATATATATAAACTAATGTATTACTCAATTACAATCGGCCAGTATACTGGCCGGTTGTAATTGAGTAATACATTAAAATGTAGTTAAGCCCTTTCTTCCAAGGCCCGTGTGGGGCTTGCGGGATCGATCGATCTCACCGATGATATCCAGGAGGCAGCACATGGCTCCTGCAGCATCGCTTGCAATGCTTATAAGCTAGCTGAGAGCAAGTGAGGAGGATGCCTCGCTCCATGCAATCGATCTCGATCGATGGATTTAATTGGGTGGTTGTGGTTTTCGTGACTCTTGCTGGCACTGTCATGCATGCCGGATCAGTGTGTTTGGGTGTGCCTTTTGTGTCTATATTGCTACCGAGGAGAACCTTTGCTGCCTGATGCTGCTGATAAGAAAACTCAGCGGGATAAAGCGTGAAAAGGCCGTTATAATACACCCTAATGTGCGTTATTCAGCGTGGGAAAGCGTGATTGGTTTTTTGCACAGAACTTAACTGTTCTAAACGTGCTAGATCTGGCTCGAGTTTGGGTTTTGCTGCGATCTCTGATCATGGGTGCTAAAGAGGTTGACAAGGCCCTCCGGGAATCCTTCAAGAAGGGCTTGGCTGTGCGAAAGAGCATAGCTGATCTCAAAGAAAGTAAGAAGCTTGAGAAGGGTGAGAAAGCCAAGAAGACACGTGGCACTCTCAGTGTGGCCTCCTCGTCGTCTTCCGGGGTGCCAGATAATCCGCCCGTGCCGCTGGATGAACGTCTCAATGGACCCACCTCGCTGACATTGGGTGAGCTCATGACCAGTGAGCGGCTCAATTATGAGGATGCCTTAAGGGTTTTTCTGAATGTCAGGCAGGAGTTTGAGGAGCAAGCAAAGAACGAAGCCAAGGCAAACTCCAAAACCTCTCGCAAACGCAAAGCCGAAGAGACACCGAACGAGGAAGAGGATGACGAGCCCGATTCCCCGGACCCTACCAAGCCTCCAAAGGCCAGCCCCAAGACCCGAGGCAAGCCGAAAGCCAAGGGCAAGGCGAAGCCCCTGCCCAAGGAGCCTGAGGAGGAGGAAGAGGAATCTGACAATCAGGATCCCGGCAAACTGTTGAAGGCCACCCCAAAGACCCGAGCCACGCCCAAAACCAAGAGCAAAGCCAGCCACACCGCCAAAGAGCCACAGGAGGAGGAAGAGGAAAAAGAGGATTCCCCGGAGGCCGCCAAGCCCCCAACCCGAGCCACGCCGAAATCCAAGGCAGATCAGGAGGACAAGGAGCACGACCTTGCCATCCTTCCAAAGGCCAGTCCCAAGACTCGAGTCAGCCCAAAAGGGAAAGCCAAGGGCAAGCCCAAGCCCCTGCCCAAGGAGCCAGAGGAAGAGGAAAATGATTATTCACCGAAGTCTGGCAAGCTTTCCAAGGCAAACCCAAAGGGCCGAGCCACGCCGAAAGCCAAGGATGAGGAGCACGATTCCCCGGACCCTGCCAAGCCTCCAAAGGCTAGCCCCAAGACCAGGGGCAAGCCCAAAGCCAAGGGAAATGCCAAGCCCCTGCCCAAGGAGCCTGAGGAGGAGGAAGAGGAATTTGATGAAAGTCAGGATTCCGCCAATCTGCCAAAGGCCACCCCAAAGAGCCGGGCCACGCCGAAAGCCAAGAGCAAGGCCACATGCACCGCCGAAGAGCCACAGGAGGACGAAGAGGAAGAGAATCAGGAAGAGGAGGAAGACATCGCAGCGGAACCCAAGAAAAAGGCAACCCCGAAGTCGAAAGCTGCAACAATCCGCAGGACAAAGAAAAGAGCCTTGAAGCGCAAGAATGCAAAGGAGAGCTTGGAGGAGGATGCTGCAAAGAGCACGAAGAGCAGGGCCATCACCGCTCGCACACCCCCGAAAGTCCGCCTGCATGGGAAGACCAAGCCTGCAAGAAAAAATCAGAAGGTACCTCCGGCCCCGCATCCAGATGAAGCTGACACCCAGCTCGAGAACCTAGGGAACCAGTCAGGTGATGACTCCGATGGTTTGGCGCCGCAGCATGAGGAGGAGGAGCACTCGGAACACCATGATGACACGGAGCACACAGAACAGGATGATGACGAAGAGCAAGAGGATGGCGAGAAGCGCCCAGAACAGAATGATGAGGAGCAGCAAGAGGATGATGGCGAGGAGCACCCAGAACAGCATGATGAGGAGGAGCAGCCAGAAGAGGACAAGGATGATGACCAGGATTCTCCCGAGTGCCTAGGCATCGATTAAGGGGTTTAGGTCGATCGTGCAACTTATGCTTCCAATCATTGAAACTAAATAAGGTCCTGTCTCACCTTCAAAGCCGGGCAACACAGCCTGAATTATGCGGGCGAGGCGGCACTTCGTGGCACGCTTGCTCGAGGCGACTCCCTATCTGACTTGTCGGATCTATTGAAAACGTCCCTTGTCCTCAATCCAATGCCTGAAACCTTAAACTATCTATGTAGCCACACACCCCCATGTTACCAGTTGAAACCTAATCATGATCCAAGGCTTGGCCCCAGTGCCAGCCAACTCGGCTACGCAGAGGAGCTAAGCGGCTTGCTTCGACGTGTTGATGGTTTGGTGCAAAGCAAGGAAGCCGAGTCTAGTGCGAAGGCAGCAGCAGCCAAGCCCGAGCCAGGATCAAAGCCCGCATCCCCACCCAAGCGAAAAAAGACAGCATCAAAGCCCGCATCCCCGTCCAAGCAAACAGCTGAATCACCCGAGAAGCCGTCAGCTGCCAAGCCACCAGCCCCGGCCGCAAGAAAGCCCGCACTCCTGGCCCTGCCGGCCACGGCTGGTCAGGTTGAGGGTCAGGAGAGAGAAGGTGTTGTCAACAGCACGACACACAAGAAAGCTTACATGAAGATGGCCCCTAGTCTTAACTATTTTTATTGTGATGTCGAAGGCCCTATTCCCACATGCTGAGGACCGCTTTTACAAGGCTGGCAAGTTCGACGGGTGCCCGAACGTCAAGATGCTCATGGAAGGCTCGCTCGAGGATGCTTGGACTTCAAATCAATTTCTACATATGGGTCTTACAACACTAAGAAATGCTTGGGCTTACTCAACTACAACCTTAACCCCAACCCCTCTAAACCCTAAGTCCTAAACCGCGAACCCCTAAACCCCAAAAACCTAAACCCCTAACTCCCTAACCCCTAAACCCTAAATTGAAGGATCGCAACAAAGCCCTGCGAGAGTGGGTGACTTTCGGTGGCAATGCAGCCCAGATGGAAGCCAAGCTGAGCTTCGAGCGAACGAGCTCGGTTCTTGGACAGCGGGTGTGGGAACAGGTTGCGGTGAAGGACATGCGGCATCCGCCGTATTCGTTCAGCAAGCTGCCCGGTGTTGATTTAACGCAGTGCATGTGCTATGTGCTTGCTGCAATGATAGCTCTTCAGTTGCTGTTGGTACGCATCACCTGCACTGAGACGAAAGATTGAAAGCATAATCAGCCGTGGCGATGGCGAGGAAGATCCGGATGCTCCGGGATGTTTGGAGGAGACCAGGTTTTGGTGTGTTGTGAAACGTATCAAGACAGAATCTGAAAGCCAAGTGCCACTCGCTCGAAAGTAAATGTTTGTGTGCTATCATACAAGCGCTCCAATCCTCCTTATGATCAGCTCAGGATGCGAGCCTCGATGAACGCCAACATGCAGGGCTCTGTGGGGATGCTAGATGGCCTCATCGCGAATGGCAATCAGAACATGCCTGGGATACTCCGACGGGCCAAATCTTCGAATGCGGTCAACAAGCCGTTGTCGGGAGATGTGCTACGTGCCTTTGATGACTACAACAAAGATCTGGCCGAGGCTGCTCAAGGCAACCTACGAGTCAACTTCCGTAGTTGTCATGAATGTAGAGTGGGGTGGGGTTTGTCATTCGGCACAGCTAGACAATGAAGGCTCGGTGTTGATGCTAGGCTGTGGTCTGGGACCTGGGTCGTGCTTTTTGGAGTTCGGTTGTGGCGAGTTTGGGGTTTATAATATCCAGTAGCCATAATCTCATTATGCATAAAACCCTATCTCGCTTAAATCAACAGCGGCTCTAGCCAAAACCCCCACCCATCCCCGACTATCCGGATATATCAACCTCATGCAATGTAGTCTTGTATGATTCGAAACCTCAACTCTTAAACCCGGCAACCCATTGAAACTTAATCCCCGTGAAGGAAGTCATACTCGCGAGGTGCCCCCCCGAGCAATGTGGTCACCATTTAAAGCAAGTCGATACCTCCAACCCATATGAAATCAAATTCGGAGCCAAAGTGCCTTCTTTGGAACCTACAGAAGCAGCCCTAGCATTGTCGTTTCGAAACAATTAACCAACCTAAACCCATTATACCCCAATCTTAAGCCACCCGACAACTCCTCCTGCCAGTTGCTCCGCCGGCTGGTGGCCGCAGACGTGGAGCAGCCTCCACCCGTGGGCCTTCCAGATCGGTCGCATCTTCGGTTGTTGGCAGGAAGTCGCTCATCGAGGAAAGTTTCCGGACGGACGAAGAGAAGCATAGCAAGTTCAGCTTCTTGTCGATATTATAGGCACGAACTATCGAGACTGGGGGTATGGTATGATCGAGTTGCACCCCAGGTCAAGCTGTGAAGAAGGAGATCGGTGCGATGAGCACCCTGCTCCTCGATTTGCAGCAATGCAACTGCCCGGACTTGCTCAAAAGTCTCAAAGACCACGACGCCAAGATTAAGAAATTGGCTCTGAAGCCACTTGGCTGTATATGTGTGTAGACGGCATGTGTGATACTCATGTTCAACGAAAGCAGAGGGAGCAAGAGAGATATGGGGAGACAGAGGAGTGTGGTAGGGGTCTGAGAGATCTGTTCATATACGCATACACATGTGTGCACACATGGTGGCTTGCAGGCTGGGTATGCTCAAATCCGGGCCGGAGTTCGGCGACCTGTGCCAGGAAGCCTTTGACGAGGCTCATTTCAGATATTTCACTATCACTATACCTACTCTGCCATCCCCCTTCAAACCCAAACTCAAAACATTCCCGCACTCTGATCTGCCCCTGACAGATCGAGAAGCTGAAGCTTGTCAAAGGGCAAGCCAGTGGCCTCCTGAAGGAGCTTCGCAAACGACCGTGACCGCAGCCTAGGGATGCACGGGGTTGGGCGGTGCTTAAGATTGAAGTTTGAGGAGTACTATAGTAGATGTTTTCACTTTGTCTGTCGGGGCCCCGATCGAAGTGCATTTGCTGCAGCCCGGTACGTCGTATGGAGTCGCCCAAACACTAGCTAGATTCATAAATACATCAACATGTACAAGTTGGGCTTCTTCGTCGCATTTTGATACCGAGCCTTCTGCATTAGCAGTGGGAACATTACGATCATCGGAGATCCGTTTGGCTGTTGTCCCTGATCAGTGCTAGAACCATAAACCCTAGCTTCGATTCCCTAAACCCGAGATAACCCTAACTGGAGACAAAAACCTTCTGCAACAACCCCAACCCCAAAGCTCTAAACTCCTAAACCTAACCCTGAACCCTAAACCTGAGTTAAGTGTATCAAGATCAGCCTTCAACAGCTTTCAACCTGCCGCAAAAGAGTTGCAGCGGGAAGGGGTTTGGGCCGTAGGCTCAGTACCAGCCGCAATATTCAAACTACTTTCTGGGAGTGCTGGTACTGACACTGGCCCGCTAGCCGTATGAGTGATCGCAGAAGAAGCCTAGGGGCAGCCGTGCTTGAAAAAGGTTGCTTATTTATAAGCTGGAATATATTGCACCTGGTGTTACCCAACCTTAATTCACTAGTACCTAGACCAAACTTCCCCTGGCCCCCGCAGGCAAGCCTTCGTCTGGATCCAAATCCACTGCTGAGCGCCTCGATGATTTGTTGCTCGGCTTTTATGTTCTGGCTTAGCTGCTTTGAGGCTTGAAGTTGCAGCAAAGCCGAGGCTAGTCAAAGCGACAACTGACGGTGATGCGAGCCTAAAGCTGACATGCGACCTCGGAACCTTGTGCTTAAATCAGTCTTCGTGTTCCTTTTGATTTCTAGAACCCTCGAAGTTGCTAGATCGTTGAAGTGACAACCCAGGTGACACCTATGACAGTTCTCTCTTGCACGGTTACGAGAGTCGTCCTCTGCGGGAGGATGAGTACATGTCTAGAGTTCGCAAAGCTGGGTATGCACTGCCGACTGAAGTCACCTATGTGGCTGCACCAGTCATCCGTGGAGAGGAAGAAGAACCCATCATTGAGCACTGTCCTGTGGTGCTGCCATCCTCTATGGTGCTTTGGCTTACTTAATGACCAGCATATTTGCGAATGATTTGTAGCTCCCAAAGTACCCAATATTCGCAGCCCCCCACACATAAGCTCTTATTTGCTTGGCCAAGACAACCCTACCCTACACTGCAAACCCGTGATATAAGCCCTGAACAACCCCCCAAACCCTTGAATCCCTAGAAGCCACAATCTAACCTGAGGCCACGGCACTCATTGAGGAGCTTTTTGTGGACTCCATGTATCCATCGAGCTCAGATCTGGAAGCCTATTGGGCCCAACTCCTGCCTGACTTCAATGGACATTGGCTTACTCAGCAGCCAGATATCTGGCATTGCACAATCCCCATAGTCCTTTGGGGCGATGAGGGGACCCTGAATAACAGCTCGTGGATGGTGGTTTCATGGCCGCTGAAGCTGCAATCCTAAATCAAAGATTGAGTAGAGATCTTCCTAGTATTCAACCGGCTTTGGCAGTTAATCTTGACTAGATAGGCACGCAGACTATCTAAGGACCGCTGATCTCAGTATATTCCGCGAGCACAGCAAGGCATCCCGCTACATGATCTACTCGCTTCTGGCTAGCAAGTACTGGATACAAGGCAAAACCAATGAGACCCTCCAGCAACTGAACGCTGCAGTGGCCAACGACATCAATGGAGTGATGCAGAAAGGCATTGAAACCACCTCCGGAGATTCTTGCCCAACAGACCCGGTTCGTACTAGGTTTTGGGTGTGTGTGTGTGTACACATAGCCCCTCATAAGAAGTTTTGGTGGGTGTAAAATTCGGTTGTTATGTATGGGGATACATGGCAAAAGCCTTAATTCAAGTCATAGCACAACCTCCTACAGTTTTATCTGAGGAAACCTATTATTTTGTTGTGGTGGCTTTTCGTGGAGATCTGAAATATTTGACCCAGTGCTTCAACTTCGTGCGCAATTCGAGCACTGACAAGGCCCGCAGCACTGCGCCAACCATTTTGGCAGATGTTAGCGGGCTCGTGGTTTGGGTTACAATGCGGTCTAGTTTAATGGTTAGGGTCGTGCTGGTCAAAATATTTCGACTCTGCAGGTGTGCTTCAAATGCTTGGCATCAAGGTCCGATCCGGCTATGATCTACACTGACATCAATGCTGATGCTGGTTGGACAGCGACCGAATTTTCCGATGTGGAGCCGCCGTGGGTGGACCCGCCGGCTTTTGCTGCTATCGATGGGTTTGATCTTCGCATGGTTCAAGTGGACTGGATGCACACATGGTCATTGGGAGTGGCACAAGACGTGCTGGGAAGTGCCATCAAACTTATGTGCAAAGGCAAGATGTTTTACACAGGATCCAATATACAGAAACGGCTCAGCCAGTTGTACCGAGATCTCAAGATCTATGCAGCTGCGAACGGCAAAGCTTTGTCTTGTAAAAGACTTCGTAAGCGCACTCTTCGCTGGGAAAATGGCTGCCCTGAGCTGCACGTCAAGGCTGCAGACATTGCGGTGTTTTTGCCTTTCGTACTTGCGAAGCTGCAAGAGGTTCCGATGGAGGGGCCTTACACTGGCCTGCTTGCGATGGTTTGGGCAGCTGACGAATTTTCCCGCTCCGTCATGGCAAGCAGGACGTTTTTGACGGTGGACCAACAGCAGCACACACGTACAGTGGGCGATCTCTTCCTGTCTACCTTCTGCCTATTGGCACAGCAAGCACGGGACAGAGGCGAATACTATTTCAAGATGCGTCCAAAATTTCATCATTTGATCCACATGGTCAGAGACAGTCGACCGAGCAGAAGGTCTCCGGGATGGGACAACTGTTACATGGATGAGGACCATGTGCGACACTGCATTCGTGTTCTGCGCAAAGTAAGTCATCGGACGGCAGAGAAAACTTTGCTTCTTCGAAATGCTGTGCAGGTGAAGCAGACCATGCTGCAGTGCTTGCGGTAAACTCGAGATTTTTCGTTGGGGCGAGAAAACGAATGTCGGTGGCCGAGTGCGAGAGTGGGTGGCTTTCGGGTTTAGAGCTTTCCTTATTCGGGCCCTTGCTGTCGGGCTAAAGTTTCGGGTATTTGGGGTTTGCTGTTGTGTTTCCGCCGTCCCCATTTCCGAGTTCAGGGCTTTCAAGGGCGAGGGAGAGACGGAGAGACACCCCAAATCCCAAACCTCAACTGTGCACCTGCCAGACCCCAAACCCCAAAACCGCAAACCTTACAAACCCTAAAAACCCTAATTGTGGCTCAAGTGTTTGTTTGGCTCAAACCCTACAAACCCTAACTGGCTCAAGTGTTGTTTGGCTCAAATATTATTTGCCAAAGCACGTGTGGCTCAATTGTATTCGCAAGCTTTGGGATTCGCGCCTCTTTCTGCTAATCCCTGCGGTTTCGGACCGTCCCAAAATGTTCAGGACAAACTAGTGCTTATCCGACCTGTCCGAGGCATCCGGCTTTCTTCTGTGAAATTCGTGGCGAAAAAATTTGTTCAGCCCGTTTGAGAGAAAACTTGTGCTTCATTTTTTGGAATTTTAAATGACCCTTAAAATGCCAAATGACCCTTAAATTTCAAATGGCCCTTAAATAAAGCGCCCAATTGGGTGTTGGGGTCCTTTTACAGCACGCCACGTCTTCCAGGATCGGGCCCTCAGCGACGGCTTCAGCGCCGGCCGACGGTCCAGCAGCGGCCAGCGCGACGGCTCACAGATCCCCACCGACGGTTCCTGACCGGCCGGACCAAGAACAGTTCCGCGGCGAGGCCGTCGATCCCCTCATACGGCGGGCCATGCGACGCTACGCACGGGCCGTGGTCCGTGGCCTGCCGGCTCTAAGCTGAAGGCCATCTTCGCCGTCGACCGTCTGGTGGCTCTAGTTGCTAGAGTCGACCCGCCGGGTTCCGACGCGTGGAGCCCGTGGGTCACGGCGCACGCCGTCGATGCCCTCATCCTGGCGGTGTGGTTTATGCTCCGCGAGATCGAGTTCTCGGCGGCACAGACGCAGGACATTGACGTCGCTGACGGCACCGTCGCCCTCCGGCTTCCCCTACACAAGACAGCAACCGGCGGCGAGGTCGAGATGACCCAACGCCAGCTACGGTGCGCATGTGGGGCAACCGTGGCACCGCTGTGCCCCCATCACGCGGCGCTCCGCCATGTAGCCCGCCTTCGGCGAGCCGGCCGGTGGGTGCGAGGGGCACCCCTGTTCCCCGACGGGACCGGAGACACCTGGGAGAAGTCCGGGGGCGTCCTCTTTTTCCGGCGGGTATTGCTGGCGGCGGGGATCCAGTTGACTACTACCCACCACAACGGCGCCACCGTCCAGCTCTTCAACGGCCATCTGGCACGGGTGGCCGGCGCGGCGTGGCTGGCGTCCAAGGCCGTCAACACACCCATCATCCAGCTGCTTGGCCGCTGGTCCTCGGCGGCCGTCGAGCGGTACGTCCAGGCAGCGCCCTTGGCAGTCGCCCCAGACGTCCCCCGGCGCATCCTGGGGGATGAGGTCGAGATCGTCAGCGTCCGGCCGGCGTATGCAGAAGCCACGGCTCCACCGGCGCTCGGCAGTCGGCGGCCGCTGGCCCTGCAAAACGGAGAGCCGGTGAAGCAGGAGACGCCACCGCAGGAGGACCACTCCGCGACGGTAGCCTTCGAGCCGGGGCCAGTCAGACCGGACGCGGTGCAGCAGGTCGCCGTCGCGCCGCCGGAGCACCTCATCTACAATGAGCGGCAGAAGCGGGCTCACGCCCCAGACCCGACGGAGGCATCGTCGGACCGCTTTCTATGGAAAGCGCGGGGGTGTTCCTGGCCATACGGCGTCCGCAGTTTTTATAGAATCACCGAGCTACGACCGGCGGGAGCAGCCAAGTGCCTTAGGTGCTTCCCGAAGGCCCCGTCGGCCGACGGTGAGGGGACGCCGACGGAGGAAGCGGCCTCACCAGTGGCATCTAGCTCAGATTCCGACGAGTCCTCGTCGTCCGGCTAAAAGGGATTAAGCTGTGCATCTGGTGAGCCCGTCGCTGCGCATAGGCATCTTGATGTGTAACCGCAGCCCCGCCTTTGACCGCACCGCCCTTCACTCCCGCCGGCCCTCTCGTCGTGATCATGGCTATGGGTCCGCAGCTCGTCGCCGACGTCCTGACCGACTTCCCGACGACCTCGCCACGTCGGCAGGGGCGGGTCCGGACCTCGTCGAGTACCTGAAGGCGCGGTCTCTGAACCGCACGGCGACCCTCTCGCCCTCGTCGCCGACGAATGGTCCGATGTGGACGCGAGGGTCTTTCAGCCGTTCCGCGACGGCGACGAGATCGCCGGGAAGATCTACAAAGCGGCGCCGGCGGAGCAGCCCGTCGTCCGCCACATGTGGTCGGAAGCCCGTCGTCAGTGGAACGAGCTCTCCACCCCGACTCCGACACCGACGACGGCCGCGCCGCCGCCGGCCACCCTGCCGACGCTGGTCGGCGAGAAGCCGGGAGTGGACCGACCTCGTCGCCCGCTACAACGCCGTCCAGCTCGGCGGGGAGCCCCGCTCCTTCCCAGTGGAGCGCCTCGTCGGGTCCGAGGAAGTGCTGGCGAGGATCCACTGGGAGCACACCAGGTCCAAGCTCTACACGCCGCTCGGCCTCGGCGAAATCCTGGCGACCCGGACTTGGTCATCCCTCGGCGTCGTCAATCCACTCGCCGGCCGCCGCAGCACCGGCGGGGCACAGAGCATCAAGTTCAAGTTCGTGGACGGCGGCCTGGCGGTGGAGGAGAACCAGCCGTTCGTCCCGAGGGGCATTTGGGCCGTCGTCGACGGCCTGGACGCCATTCGCTGGGCTTGGGTCCTGACCGGCGTGGGGACAGAGGCCGGCGTTATCAGGCACATCGATTGGTGGACGACCAAAGCCCGGCTCCACTCGAGCAGGCTCGAGGCCGTCCTCGCCTACTGGGACGCCACGGCGCACCAGCTCGCCATGTCGATGCGCCTCGCCTGGACCTTTGAAGAGGTTACCTCGGCGATCATGGCCGACCAGGCGGCGTTCAACGAGGCACTTCAGTCGTCCGTCAAGCCCGGCCCGCCGAGAAGACGACGGAGGACGAGCGCACGGCCGACACCCCCAAAGGAAAGGGGAAGGGTCGAGGCCGCCAGCCCCGTCGTCGTCCCGGGAAGCAGCGTCGTCAGGAGCAGGACTGGGACGAGGACGGCGCCTCCAAGGACTGGGTCGTGATTAGTACGAGGACCGGCGCCAGCCCCAGAATCGCTGGAAGCAGACGACGGTCGTGACCAGGGCTGGCGCATCCCTACCCCCTTATAAATGTAACATATGGGGGGGGGCGCTTAAATGTAACAAGTTTTTCTTACATTTACAGGGTTTTCGCATGTACGATCCCTTGTGTGGGGGGGGCAGGGCATCTGTTGAGGCAACATGTGAGGAAAGGGGTCTGGGCAGCTGACAGTCGGGTGCATGTTGCTTCCTGATCCTTCCATGTCGGCTTTCTTTGTCATGTCTGCGGTGGTGTGCTCGTGATTGCTCGTGCCGCAGGGGCAAGTGGCCCAAATATGGTCATGTCCGGTAAGGGATGCTGAGGGGAAAGGTCGACATTTCAACTGGATCGTGGGATAGCAGGCTTATCGCGAAAACACAGCCAGTTCGAATCGAGGCACATTGAAGAAACTATTCATAGAAAATCATATCGGAGCGATGTGGCGGCTGCAGAAAACCGGGCAAAGGAGGAGTGGCCCTCAAAAGGGCGCACCCATCTGAACTTTGGCTGCAGCTGGTGTAATTGCTGGCGGTCGCGGAGGGCAGGGGACGGTTGTCTAGCTCGCCGATGCCTGCTGAGATACCTGGACAGCTCCGAACAGCTCGAAGACGTTCCGGTCGTGGAGTCAGGCGTCCAATTGGGCCATCGAGAACGGGGTTGAGGCTCATTGCCAATCAGTGCCGGTTGTGCATATTCTTCCATGCTTCCTTTCAATGTAGTTCCGTCCATTGCGCAGTTACCGCCTGCACAATGTGATGCCCACAAATACGGAGAAGATGGCTGGCCGTTGAAGAAGAAGGCTGGGTGTCGCACATTTTTTTCTTCTTTAGCAGTGCTGTAGTTCGAGTATTGTCAGGACAAGTCGCAAAAGCTCCATGAGAAGAAGGCCGTTCTCTGATTTTTCTCTCGTTGTGTGGCCAGTGGGGCGACTTTAATATATGTGTGAGGAATCCTCCTCACGTGATGGCCAGGGGAAGGCCGGATGTTCGTATTGGAAAAATTGGGAAACGGAAGGGTTGTTGAAATCGGGCGTGCAGGCCAGAACGACCGAGGAGCTGAAGGTCGTTGGCAGCTTACTTCTTGCTCGTTGGTTTGGTTCGGGTTCGCGACCATGACAGGAGTCTGGCTCGCTGGGGTTCGACGAGCCGCAGGCCAGGTATCCGGTTAAGTTTGTTTGTGGCTTGGGAAATCCGTGCTTTGCCAGGCTTCGACATCCAAGCAGACGAAATCATCGAGTGGCGACAAGGCTTTGGGGTGCTAGGGTTGGGGGTGGGGCTGTCGTGGAACGTTCGGCTGCTGGCCAGGCGGAGGATCCGCCATTGGCTGGCAACCCGAAGCAGAGGGAGGCTGCGGGGGTAGGGGTTCGGTGGTGACGGTTGGTTTGGGTTGAGGGTTAGGGTGTCAGTGTGGTTCGGTGCTTCGTCTCGTTCTTCTGCTTGTGCGGAGGTTCCCGATCAGACTGATCCTCCTTTATGTGCCCGGGCCTTAACTCCGGACGGTGCCTTTGGTGTGGTGCACGTGACGATGTCCCGCTTGCTGCGTTTTGGGGATTTTCGGGGCTTTTGGGTTTGGATACTTCAGGAGACATCGACATCTTTGGCGGATGCTGTCCGGGCCTTGTTTGATTTCGCCTGTCCGGTCGCTCCGGGTGTTTCGCAACATTTCGCAACGGCCCGGCAGGAGACTAGTGCTTCGCTGGGAATGGACCAGGCCTCGTATTGCCTCCGTTGCACTTCGTCGCTTCGGCGTCCTTGTGTCCAGGTGGCTGTTGCTGCAGATGCACATCCTCCTGTGGAGGCGGTTCCAGAACTTAACGCACTCGTGCCGAGGGACGAGGTACGACAGTGTATGCTAGCGCCAGTATCCCTTTGGGAAACATCGAAGGTGTTTCGCTAGAAAACGTCGAAGGGGTTTTCCTCTGAAGCTAAACAGAACGAAGCTTGTCTGTTTGCTAGAGTGTCTGCACATGGCCGGTGAAGCAGTGCTACTCCGTGGCCATTGTGCTGAAAGGCCCCCAGCTATTGGGGGGCAAATTTCGAGTGGGGGTAGGAAGGGGAACAGGGCTAATTAGCCCTGCTTTGGGTGCGCTGCCATGTCGGACAGCGACGCTACCCTGGCGCCGACCACGCCAGATGGCGCAGCAGCTACAGCCGTCGACTGCGCTACTGTGGTTGGGGATTCCCCGCCCCCGCTAAGTGGTTCGTGTCCTACCGAGGTACCCACGCTAGGGGGGGACGACACCGCGGGGGCTCCCTCCGGGGAGGTACCCTCGTGGGTCCCGCAGACCCCAGCTAGTGACCCGCAGCCCGAGGAGACGGGGCTGCTCTTCGAGGGCTGGGAGATGGAGGCAGAGCTAGAGGCGCAGGCTACGGTCCAGCAGGAACGTAGGCGCACGCTAGACAGGGCCTACCGGCATCTCACCAGCCAGGGGTTTGGGGTCTTGGAGCTAGCGGTGGTGGACCTGGACGACGCGGAGGACGTCGCCAAGCAGCTAGCACGAGAGCTAGGTATCCCATACCAGCCGTGGCTATGGGATGGCGTTTACTGCTGGCTACAGGAAGCACGGCAGGAAGCTACGGTCTATCAGAGGGTGCACGGCTACTTCCAGGACGATATCACCTGGAGAGCCCGGATGCCGCCGCTACCGACCCCAAGGGAAGAGGTCGAAGAGGCGGTGCTTCAGCCACCGGCGCCGCTAAGACCTCCTCCCGGGGAGCGGAACCGAAAGACGCTACAGCCCAGCACGATCAGTGCGGCTAGAGAGGAGCGACTGCTAGACGTTTGGGCGAGGAAGCTCCGTGAGGAGCTGCTAGAGATACATGCCCCGGTTCTCGCTAAGCTGCACGGGAGTCTGGACCCCGCGAGGGCAGCTATGTTGCTTCCAGGGAAGACCCGGGCTTCCACTTTGAAGCGCTACCTGAGCTACTACAGGCAGTGGCGCCAATGGCTCCACGCAGCTAAGCTCAGGCCGCCTCCGGGCACCGCCGCGGACCTGGTGGATTACCTCCTCGCTAGGAGTGATGAACCCTGCGGCCGGTCAGTTCCTGAAGCTATTCTTAAGGCTATCTCTTGGGTGGAGAAGGTGGCCGACTTCCCGGTGGAGCTACAGACCACCTTTGGTCGCCTGGTTTGGGCCGCTAAGGATAGCATAGTGGAGCAGCTAGCGGAGGGCGCCCCCCTGATCAAGAGAGCGCCCCGCTACCCTGTCTACATGCTGGTGCAGCTAGAGCTCGTGGTCATCAACCCCGCCCTGGCAGCAGGCTGGCGGATCTGGGCCTGGGCTAAGTTGGTCAAGGTTTGGGCCACGCTAAGATGGTCGGACCTCCAGGCTATCTTGCCGGCCGAGCTAGTGATGGTGGAGGGGCGACTCACCACCATCCTCCGGAAGACCAAGACGTCCGGCGCTACGAGGAGGGTCAAGGAGCTACCGGTCGTGGTGTCCGAACACGCCTTCTGGTCGCTAAGAGCTGGCTGGTGACCGGCTTCGACCTCCTCAAGGCCCACGCTAACTACGCCCGGGACTACCTCATGCCGCGGCTGGGCCGGGCGGGGCAGCTAGAGAAGAAGATGGCTACCTATGCGGACGCTATGGTGGCAACCGCGGGGCTGCTGGCTATCATGGGCTACCCGCGGGAGGTCCAGGGCTATTGGACGGAGCACAGTGAGCGCTCAGTGCTACCAACAGGGTTGGCGCTAAAGGAGATCCCCCCGCAAGATAAGGATCTGCTAGGGCGTTGGAAACCCGAGGGGTCCGACGTGTACGCTAGATCCTTTGCGGGTCGGGTGTCCCGTCTCCAAGCTCTCTTCGCTAAGACAGCTAGGGGGGACGACCGCTACGAGGCGCTCGACGAGCGTGAAATCGCCGCGGATCTGGAGCCCTGGCTGGAAGAGAGGGCCAAGCTAACCCACAGCCAGGCTATCCACATGGCGGCGAGGCTGCGGAAGATCTGGATGGAGGGCCTGCTAGGAGTCCCGACAGAGGCGGAAGAGCTAGAGGTTCCCGAGGGGCCCGAAGAGCCAGTGGAACCGCTAGTGCCCGGGAGTAGCTCCGAGGCCTCTGCAGAGGTCGTGGAACGGCCCGCTAAGAAGCAGGCCAGGGTTCCCGACCGCAGCCAGGGCAGCTATGTAATCGTAGAGGTCCCGGGTGCCATTTTCCGCCTGCACAAGGCGGGCGCTACAGGTTGCTGGATGGGAAAGCGACGGGCTTTCCGCAACGCTAGGGTTTTTGATTCGGTTCCGGAGCCGCATGAGTACACACATGTGTGCAAGCTATGCTGGCCGAACCAGGGGGCTATCTCCGAAGGGGACGCTAGCGAAGGATCGCTCGCTAACTCGGAAGATGACGAGGCCCCGGAGGATCACGCAACGGGGTCCGCTAGCAGTCATCCTTGAGCGCAGGGCGTGCTAAGCCGCCGAACTCGCACTCGCACTGAGGCTAGAAAGGCTGCTAGGTCGGCACCCTCTTTCCTTCCCTCTCTCTCTCCCTCTTTCTCTCTCTCTTCCCTCCCTTGCGAAACGCCGCTAGTTTTTAAAGGGGGTGTGCTCGGGGGGGGGGGGGGGGGGGGGGGGGGGGGGGGGGGGGGGGGGGGGGGGGGGGGGGGGGGGGGGGGGGGGGGAGGGGAGAAAGAAGAGAGTGGAGGGAACCACGTTCTTGCTACATGTCACTTGCTGTGTTGCCTGTGTTGTGCTTTCGTGTTCCGCTAGTGCGCTGTAGGAGGAGCAAGGAGCGAAGGCAGGCGCTAGGAAACCGGGGCCGGGGGACCCCTTTGCTGGCCACCCAGGGAACACAGGAGCTAGGAGAGGAGCCAGTGTCTGCGCTCCGTCCTGCAGGAAGGAGCTAAGGAGCGGAGGAAGGCGCTACGAAACGTGCGGGTTTGGACCCCGCTAGGCAACAGGGCAACAAAGGAGCTAGGCGCAGGAGCCAGTGACTGTGCTAAACCTCCCTCCACGCTAGCCCTCGGCTTCGCTACCCTGGGGTAGCTAGATTTTCGATAGTCGTTTCACCTGATCCGTGCCTTGGGCGCCGCTATGGGTGGCAAAGGAAAGGATGCCACTGCTACAACGCCTAAGGGCGCGGGGCCACCAGGTGGTCCAGCTACGGCAGAACAGCCCGCTAGTGGAGACTACCTTCCGGAGACCCTCCGCGGTCTTCGGAAGGCGCTAAGGTTTCGGCCTTCAGAGTGCACGGATGGGCTGCACCGCTATCTCGACAAGCCTCTGCTACAGGAGCTGATCGCTATGTCGCAGGAGGCGATCGAGAGGC